AGACTTACAGTTGCACAGTTAATAAAATATCATTGTTAATATGTTAATGTTAATAACGATATTAATATGGTTAAATTATTAACATCTCGTGTTAATAATATATTATTAATTAATAATATTCTATTAACATATTTATACTATTTAGATATTAACATTTTTGTTAATAATTATTAACATCGGAAGTTAATATCGATATTAACATCGGGTGTTAATATCGTATTTTTTTCCACTGCCAAGCACCCAAATGGCGGAAAAATCATTTTCTTCGGTTTTTTTTCTCGCCACTGTTATGAATCAAAACGAACAAATAAAATCAAATGAATAAATAATTGGGACTCTGCTCTGCTCTACTCTACCGTTTTGGCAATTTTTTCTGTCGATTCTAAGAAGGTTCATTAAATGCAACACGGCGTAGAATAAAGGAAAAAAACCGAAAAAAATGATTTTTCCGCCATTTGGGTGCTTGAAAGTGGAAAAAAATACGATATTAACACCCGATGTTAATATCGATATTAACTTCCGATGTTAATAATTATTAACAAAAATGTTAATATCTAAATAGTATAAATATGTTAATAGAATATTATTAATTAATATGATATATTATCAACACGAGATGCTAATAATTTAACCATATTAATATCGTTATTAACAGAAATATTATATTATTAACATATCGATTTTGTGCAACTATATGAAGACTGCCAAAACAGGAAACAATATGCAAACAAAAGATTGTATATACTGATATTTATTCTCCCCTCAAAACGTAAAAAGTAATTACAACTCTGAACCCCGAAACGAAGGAAAAAAATCCATTCTTTCCAAACACGTCGAACGAAATGAAATGACTGGTCGATGTTGAATGAATGAGAGAGGAAAAAAAATATGCGTAAAACTTAGATGAGAAATGTCTGCGCTTGATATGTACCCTCGTGAAAACATTTTGGACTATGTTAACTGGATTTTAGTCACTTAATCATTCCTCTTCATACAATTTATTAATGACCATAGATTACAACAGTTAACTATTTTGGGACATTTTGACCATATTTTATACGTACTTTTATTGGAATTACACTATTCGGGTAATAGTTGATACATCACATACATTAAACCAACCAACTTGAATGAATTGCCCGACGAGAAATTTGCGGTAAAATAGGTGTACGCCGACACTCCGTCGCATATCCGCGGATACTCGCAATGCGAATAGGAATCTACAATAAAAGTTGCCGCAAAATGTTATCGCTGAATACCCTGCGACTATTCGCGCTGCGAACAACAGTACAGTTCCAGCCTGAAGTTGGCTGCGCATGACATTTCAGAGTATTCGCAGGGTACTCGCCAACTATCCGCAATGCGATTATTCGCAAATTTCTTGTCGGGTTAGTTTGAAGTTGGTTGAAATCGATTGGAATTCCAATCACAGTACGTGGAAAAATTCAGTCGATATGTCCCGAAATGAACGGCTAACTAGTAGTCAATATTTTTTTTTACAAGGGAACATAGAGCACTTATTGTGTCGCTTTTTCTTCTTCTTCTTCATTTTGGTCGAGTGGAAAAGTCTTTTGTTTTGTACTTTTGAGAGTCCATTATATTGTTCCTGTTGTGATTCAGCATCGCCGTGGGCGATAAGACAAATTACACAATCGAACGATATGAATGCAAAAATCTCTTTTTCGGCTACGCAACGACTGAGTGAAGTAAAAGAGAGCTCGCGAAAATGAGAGTTTTGAGAAAAATAAAAGTTACTTGAAAATTGATTGTGACAACACACCAAACAACATTTCAAACACACTCACATTCGGCTGGTCTTATTTGTAAACAAAAGCCAGAACGTAAAACTCTCCGAAACCCAAAAAGGAATCGGTGATACAAAGAGAACATTCCAAAATGAGAAATTAACTAACCAAATGACATTTTGCGATGACGTTACGTGTATTGCCAAGTACACGATTGCATATTTAGAAGAAGGAACAATACAGAAACAACTAACAACAAACGTAGCAAATGTAAAGCATAACAACAGCATACAAAACGAAATATGAAACAAAACAAACACCGAGGCTGACTAGCTCAATGGAAAATAACATGAAGACAAAGAAGCGAAAACATTTAAAGTATGTTTTTTAGTGTTTGTTCATTTATTATTCCAATTTGCACAACTAAAGAGTTGAATAGTGTGCATGTTTACAAGGGAACTTATAATTTTGCATGATTTTGTAGGCAAATATTCGGCGACAGCGGCAAATAAACAATAACAACACCAGCAATTCAAATTCGTGCATAAATTTCGGGCGCGATACATACTTTCCACTCTCTTTTATCTCTCTCTCTCTCTCCCTACGCGTGTCACTGTCTCTTTTACACTACGTCAGCACGAGAACATTTTTGAAATTTGTCATAAAATTTATTTTTTGCACAACTCAGTTCTCATTCCATCACTTTATCGATCTGCAAATAATTTCGCTCATAGATGTGTTTTTTTTTCTTCATTCATTTATTTTATGAGCCGTGGCTCTTGTAATTTGTCGCGTTCATCAAATTTTGCGCGGCGCGTGTGCGAAAACACGACAACATTGCACTCGTGCCATTTATTATTTTGTTTTTCATCAATTCGCTGGTTGCGGTTCTTTGCAAATGCATTTTTATATGAATTTGAAACTTGCACATTTTCCCCTTCATTGCATTCGTGCGTTGCAAGCGATGGAAAACTTTCTTTTCCCGCACAATATTAAATTTCAGTTTTTCCGTCAACACAGCAGCAACATTAAATTTTATAGCTTCGACTCTCACTCTTCCTATCTCCATCGTTCTCTCTCTTCCTCTGTTTTTCTTTCTCTCTCATCGCAACAACTTATGACAAACAAATTAAATTGTTTGAAAATGCAGCAAGTTAATTCACTAACTTTTATTGGCTGCACGAGTGCTGACGCAATTTTGCGTTGTGCGTATGAATTCACACATATAGAATATAGTTATTTTCGCATGCAGTTTTCGAAACAGAACACTCTGATTTTGTGATTCGCCATCATCGTATTTGTTTCCATTCCGTCTCTTTTTTTTCCTTTTTTTCTCTCTCTCTTTATCTCTAGTATTACGTTTTCGTGTGTAAATTATTTATTGTGCATCAAAAGGACCAATTTATTTGTGCGAAACATTTAAAATTGAAATGATGGCAATTTTTGAGTGGGTGGAATGTGCTCTATCTGCTTTTACGACTGACGACGACGACGACGACGACGATGAGAAAGAAGTCGCATTTCAGAAAATTAAACAAATTTTCAAGGCACAAAAAATATTGTCGCAACAATATATGTGGATAAGGGTGAGAGAAGAAAGAAAGAGAGAGAGAGAGAGAGAGAATTGCATTTTCCGATACAACGAACATCGGCCAGATGATTCGCATCGACATCCCAAATGAAATCAGTCAAGTAAATATATTAGTTGATTTATGAAAAATGCACGAAGTAATCTATTGTTCGGAATTTATACGAGATTCAACCCCCCAAATCACTGTGTCGCGCGCGTTTGCTCATTCGCTTCGTTCGCGTTTCGATGCGAAAGGACAATCGAGTGTCAAATATAATAACAATGACTGCACTGATGATGTCATGTATCGGAAAATTGGAAAGCTGCTGATTCGCTGTGTTTGGGCGCCGAGGAAAAGGCTTCTCTTCATTTGTGTTGTCGTTGTTTTTGTTGTTTGGAATGAGCGAAAAACCGGCGACAAACGTTCCTACTTGCCAACAATAATTAATATGATTCGATCGAATTGAGCAAGCAAGCGAAATTTCGTTCGGTCGAAATACGATTTTTTTTTTACACAAAACACAACCGAAAAACAATAAAAGCTGGAACTGTGAGAATGTGTGAGAGATAATTAAGACAGCAACGGACAATGCCCATCGATGCCAAAATTAACTCTATCATCCGACGAGAAACTGCGGCACTCGCATCAAGACAATAATCGCATCAAAAAGATATACATAACGGAAACAAAACGGAAAGAATGTCAGCTGAAATAGTGAATATATTTAACAAACATAAATTTATGCATAGAACTTTTTTGTGGCAGACGAAAATTGGATGAATGATTCTCTCTCTCTCTCTCTCGCTTTCTCAGCAACTCAGAGAAATGAATGAATATGAACTGTCATATTTTCCGTGAATTCGAAAATTATGGCATGTTTTTCGTTGTGGTGCACAATACATTGTGTGCAGGGTGACATCGAAAGATTGTTGGGAAACTGAGGAATCGTTTCAGCCCGCAATGGAAGAGAGACATAGAGTGTGAGAGATCAAATCATGATTTCAGGCAGTTTACTGTCATATTCCATCGTTGCCAGTAAGCAGTAGAAAGTGAGACGAAAAACCACCCTGAATAATATATATGTATATGTTGAATATAACATAATATTAATGATGATAAGTTGCGTTCGAATATGCGTTTCATTTCGTTGTGGCGAAAATGTGTAGTGCGTTCCAATCGAGAATCATTTTTCCATTAAAATATGCATTCGCATAAATAGCAAATGAAAGAAATCGTTAAGTTGGCAGTTATTCATAGTTCTGGGGAAGACAAACGAACGAGAGTCTGTTTATCATCTCTTGAGTTTGTGTGTTGGCAGTTTTATTGTGCGATTTCTCGATATGCATTTGTAATGGGATTTGTGTGGCTTTTTTTATGACTATTCGCCACTTATTGTTATGTTAATCAACGCATGTATTCATCAGCGAACAAATATGAAACATACAAAACATACCGCAAAAATATGAACTCAAACTGCTGTCAGCAGCAGCAGCAGCAGTAGCAGCAACGACGGAAAACAGGCGAGAAAGATGTGTCACGCAAAAGCGAATTTATTGAATGTATGCCATATCGTGCTTTTGTGCTGGCCCGGTTGAAGAGCAAACACAATGAACAACACCAACAATAGCAATAAGGATGCGAAAAAAGAGGGAATACGGAAAAGAAAGAAAAATGGTAAACTTACCGACAACTCGACAACAAATCAAGCAATAATCTCAGCTGGTGGCGCCATACATATTCCCAGAAAGCTAGAGCGAATCGGCTGCTGCTGTAAAGAAAAAATGAGAAAAGAAGAGCGAAAAAAAATTAGTGGCTTTGATTAAGATTGCTTGTTGGTGATAAAAATTAAAAATATTTGTGGGCATTTGTCTTCTGGATTAAGGGAAAATAGAACGACACTGAACGTCCGATGTAAGAAAAAAAAATCTGGTCCCAAAAATGCGATAACAACAACAAGTCAACGCTTGTTCCGATGCAATCATTCATTTCGAAGTAGTACATTTAGTGCTCTCGCGCGCCAACACACCATTTTCCATAATTGCTTGATGATTATCATCAAAAATAATATATTCAATGTCATTCATCTAATTTTGGCCGCGTCGCGTCGCAAAGATCTCGTTCCCTTGCGCTCCTCAATTGCTCTCACTCTTATTTGCCTCACACTCATCACCGTTCACTTCTCTCAATTCCCTCTTTATTTCCGTAAATTTTATAGCCGATTTGGTTTTTCAGTAGCGGATTTCTCGTGTTGTCGATTTTTTTCGCCTCCTTGGCTGCTGATGATAATGGCTCGCCATAGAAACCAAGTGCCGCTGGAAAGTGTGAGAGGCGTTTGGCCTCACTTTTCCGGTCGATTGATGAGCCAAAATACATCATTTGGCCGTGTAGCGATACTAGAGAGTATAATTCGACCGTTTTGAGCACTACGTTCTTTATGCACATTTTAATGCTGAAATGAATGAACGGAGGAACAACAACATCAACAACAGCAGCAGCAGAAGTGAGACGAAAATGGGACAGCAAATAAAAATTGCAGATAACGATAAGGTTTTTGCTGTCGTTTCCCAGGAGTCATGAGAACGAGAAAGAGAGATTCGTCATGACTAATGGCATAACATAACGCATCTCAATCTATAGTTAGATGATGCTATCATTTACATTTAATCAAATGAAATGGTAAAACGAACGATACGAGCTCGCCTGTGTAATGTCGGGCCGCTTGGGGTGCAAAACAAGCTGAAAAGCAAAACATCTTTTTTTTAAAACAACATGCCCTTCGAATGGAAAGAAAGACAAACAGAGTGAGAGAGAAAGAGAGAGAGAGATGGAACGAGATAAAGGCTGTCTCATCATCGAGACCGAAGTGAAATTCGTCAAAATGAAAATATGCTGTAAAGTCCAATTGGATATGTTTCGTATATATGGCCAAATTCAATTGAAGTGCAAAAGCCATTGCACAGATTCGACTCAGCCCGTTCCAGACCCGACACACAAACAACAATTTTCTTCGTTCTTTTGCTTCGGCTTCTTCTTCTTTCTTTATCTGAATCAATATTTTTCAAAGTCTTTTAGTGTCATTATTCTCATTCTACCGCATTCTATTTGTCTAAAAAAAAACCGTTAGTACATTTAATACATTTAGTATAGATGTATGTGCACATGATTTCAATGGTCCAGTGTGCCATTGTTTCAGTGTGTTGTATTTTCTACTGTTGTTCTTGTCGTTCTCATCTCATCAGTTCCTTTTTGCCACTCATCTTCATCGGTCTCAACGATGAACGACAGCATAAAAATTATGTATTGCGCATTTATTACGAATACATGTTTATACAGAAGAAAAAACAAAAACGAAAACAACAACAACGGAACCAAGAAGCAAAATCACATTGAAGTTACAACAGCGTTTACGCCATTCAAGTGCTTGTCTCACGTTTAAGACAATAGAGATCGCCTTTCCTTGCACATACTTTTCCATGGCATCAGTTTTTGTCTCTTTCTCGTTCCGTGTTCCGCTCCCCCAGTTTGGATTGGACACAGTGAAATTCGTTCGCCAAATGATTTTCAGTTGGCATCCTCGAATCGAGCTGTTGCCAATATTACCGCCAACAACGTTATCTCGTTTCATCTCATCTCAGTCCGTTCGGTCTCGCATACGCTCGCACTCCTCATTTGTCCTGCTTTTTCCGTGAAACTTTTTATGGATCTTTTGTTGTCTTTCACTTAACTTGTCCACATTGTTATATGTCAAAGTCAATAATACGCACAAATGACATCTTTATAAATATTTATTAAACGAGAGCGGTAGAGTATGCAAGCGGGTGGTTGGACGAGCGATGAAGAGAGTGGGAGTGCGAGAGAGAGGGATGAAGTCAAAAATACGCGGCACACTGATAGCGTAGCGTGAAGAAAAATGAGCTCCACCGAAATGTTTTGATGGTTTGAGCCAAAAACAATGAATGACGGATGCTAGCCCCAATCAGAAAATGAAGAGAGAAAAAAAAATTGTATTTTCATTTCCAGATACAAATATGTATATCGTTATTCTAAATGAAATATTTCATTTTTTGCACTCGACTAATGTAATATCGAAAAGTGAGTGGCTCCTCTGTCTATGTGTGTACTTGATGATTCACTCCTACTCTCTTTTTCTCATGCATTTTGATGATTGTAATTTTTTCTCCGTTTTTATTTCGATGTTGCCGCTTATTGATTGTCATGGAACGTGCTGAATGCATATTGTTTAGTCACACCATTACAATACATTACATTGCGTTTTTCGATGCCATACCATATACACATGCAGAGCATCGAAATGGCAACGAAAATGATGAACAGATAAAAATTTACACGCAATCAAACCGAAATGTATGAGCATTAGTCATATATTGGTTCACAAAATGTAAATGGTAAACATGAAGATAAATAGCCAACCATTTGAATAAACAATCGATGGATACATGTTATTAATCATGAAAACACACTCATCTGCTTGTGCTCTCTCTCTCTCTCTTTCTCTCTCTCTCTTTCTCTCGCTTGTGCTCGTCTTCGTTCCAATTTCAAAATCACCGTATCGAGCTTCCTCCGAAGCGAGTTTATTTTACGAATAAAAACAATTTCCGATCGATTTGCGGTGTTGCGCACACAGATCGAAATTTCTCAATGTCTCCACATTGCAAAATGCGCTCCATCAATCCTACGCGATATGATTGCAAACACTTTGTCGGCAATTTGTTTATTTCAAAAAGATTCTGCTTGATGCGGTTTTTATTCCATGTATTTCCATCGAAATGCCAACTTCTTTATCGATACAGAGATTTTGATGAAATCGATTCATGTTGGGAAAATGAATTGGTTGCGATGGGTTTCGATTTCGTTTGAGCGAAACAAGAAAAATATCGGTAGCTTTGTCACAACTGATCTTGTAATTTCCTTCCTTGAAAATGGTTTTCGACAACAAGATACCGCTCAAATTTCTCTGAAGTATATCAGTGAAAGTACTCGAAATGGGAATTTCAGCTTGAACGGATATTAACAAGCAGCCAACTAAGATGATAAGATACGATGACAATGCCACTACACAATCGTATATGGTTTTCATCTCGTTCTCGTCTCTCTATTAAAAATGTCATTCAATTGCAGAAAAAGGAGAAACATTGTATTTTTGTTGCCAAAGCCACAATTTGTCCACACGAAAATCATTCGTACCAAGCGCTTGTAATTCGTTTTTATTATCTCGTCGCCCGTGTTCCTTCTGAACTGACTGCCATTTTTGGGTGCGAACAACAAAAAAAAGTTTTTGTTATGTCAGCTATTTCAATAACACAATCTTCATTTGTCATACAATGCAAAACTCTTCGATAATAATGAGAACACTGAATTCTGTCGCCGGCGTATCGAAAACAAATGTAACAACGATATTAAAACAAATAAAATGGAATAAAGCATTATCTAGATCGACATAACGCAAACTATTTTTCATTCGCTTTTTTTCTCTCTTGCTGTGGAAAATTATATTCATTCGAGAATATTTTCACTCTTCAGCTTCGAGCGAATTTATATTTTGATTTAGAATGAGAACATTCTCATTTGGAAAAGAGAGAACATCCTTTTGTATGAGATTGTATTGGGCTTGAGTATGATTTGCGTCATTCCAAATGAAAATCCATTCATCCAAAAGTGAGTTGATAATTTTTCTCCCGCATCTGCAAATTGGATTATTATTGGATGCAAAGTGGTTGGTTCATTTTCAGCAGCGCCGTATCCAGAATTTTTTTTTGGAGGGTGCAAAATCGATTTTTTTTTTTTGTTCATTTTTTTCTTTATGGTGCAACAAAAATTTGTGGTTGCACCTTTGAAATTTTTGGAGGGTGCAATGCACCCATTGCACAGGCCTGGATACGGCGCTGATTTTCAGTAAGCGATGCAGCAGCACAATGAAATCTCAGCTCCGATATTATTCGCCGTTCCAATGTGGTTTTTCCTCTTCGTCTGCTCTGAAAGCAGTTTTTGTTCGGAGTTATGACAATGTTTTCGCTCAACTTAAGCTGCACATTCGCACATACAGCCCTACACAATGGCTCAATTCTTCTCGAAATAAATGCATTTGCTGCAGCATTTCTTAAATGCTGATGAGTTAATGCGAATGCATTTACTTCACCGATTTATAATGGTTTGTTGTCGCGTTTACTATCCTTTTCACATCTCTCGGTGGTGGACGGGGGCGAGCACGCGCGCGCACGTGTAATTTCTCTATTGTTTTTCGTTCAAGTTGGAATAATTCTTGTTGGGTTGTAGTTTTTGGTTGGTTTTTTTTTTACCCTACAACAAGCTGCACACAATTTTAAGAGCGGGCATTTAGCAGATAGAAAGAGCGTGAAAGAAAGAGAAAGAGAGAGCGTTGGCATTAACTGAAGCGAATTGGTTTGCAAACTCATTTCTCAACTACATCGAAATTGCATTGTAATTGCGACCGAAAGCTGCATAAATTTGTCTTGTTCGCTTTCGTTTTGCAAATTCCACGGATTACTGGTACACGGCCAAATGCAACTGAATGTATGTGTGTGTGTGTGAAAGGACCACAGCGACAAACTGCAAACGATAGAGATAGATATTGTGGTGAAACCGTAAAAAACGTTATGTATTTTTTGCATCTTCTTAATTAAAGTCGATTTCATTTCTATATTTTTTACTCCCTCCTAAGATGTTGTTGCGAACAACGAAAAACGAACCAAAACCACTCTTACTATAATTAATGGAGCAATTCAAGAG